CACCAACACACTTTAAACAGGCAATCCAATTAGGAGACGGCAGGAGACGCGCCACTGGTGTCGGTTGCGAGCCATGTCCTGTAAAGTCTCGAGCCAAGCACAAGGCGAGTCACGTGGACTCCAGCCCGGAAGGCGAGACGGACCAACGGCACCCAACTTCGTCGTCAGTGACTTCATTTCCCGCTGCCAAGTCAACTTCTGTCCACCTCGAGCCTTGCGCCACCCTACACCTGGCAGACTAAACAAGGCCCTCCTAGGTAAACGGTGACCAGGCATACGTAGCACGTGCCCGAGCCAACGCAACTTATTCAGTGCTATCTGTTGTTCTAGGGAGCTAGCATGATTAGCATCACCTAGTACTCGCCTACGCACATCATCGTTGCGGACACGCTGGTGCCATCCGACACCAGCAATGCTTCGCAAACAACGATGTTCAAAGACTTGAAGGCGCCTCAGATCTTCAGACCGAATGGACTAAGTCTCACTACCATAGAGCAGAACGGCCTTCACTGTGGCCTTGTATACACGGCCTTTCAGACGGAGGGAAAATCCCTTCTGTCGCCAAAGATGTCGCAGGTTCAAGAAGGTAGCTCTGGATTTTGCAATGCGTGAGCTGACGTCAGTTTCTATGCGCCCATCATTGCTGATGCAGCTGCCAAGATAAGTGAATCGATCAACTACCTCGAGTTCCTCGTTAGCAAGCGTCAAGGGGGCATCAAGTGGCTGGTGGTCCTGCAGCAACACTTTGCGCTTTGAAGGTGCGAAGTGCATACCAAATAATGGGACCACACTGGACAGGCTATTCAGGGTTGATTGTGCCTCCCCAACATTGTCGAAAAGCAAGACGATATCGTCCGCATAATCTAGATCAAGCAATCTTTCACCAGGCAGCACTTCAACGCCTACATCGTGAGATTCCGACGAAATTGAACAAAAATGGGGAAATCGGACAACCCTGATAAACGCTACTTGTGGTCGGAAAACTATCCGATAGGACACCGTAGACCCTGACGCGGCCTGTAGTGTTCGAGTAGAGAGCACGAAGGATGTTCACATATTTCGTGGGAACACCTTTCCGCGCAAGTATTTCGAACAGAATCGATCGATCGACTGAATCGAACGCACGCTTGAAATCGAGGAACACAGCTATTGTCGGTCTGCGGTATGCGTGGCGCTGCTCTAGCACCTGCCGCAAAGTGAATATATGGTCTATACAGCCACGTCCTGGGCGGAAACCAGCCTGCTCTTCTCTAATCCGAGATTCCCGTTCCACAGTGAGGCGACGAACGAGAATCAAGGCCAGTAATTTTGTCACAACTGGCGTTAGGCTAATATCCCTGTGGTTAGAACAGTCTGTGCGACTGCCCTTTTTGCATATTGTCACTATAATCGATTCGCTCCAAGTAGCCGGGACACTTCGCTCCAGATACATTCGAATGAGGTCAGTGCTTTGCAGAGGACCTCACCTCCATCCTTAAATAGTGCAGGTGGGAAGGAATCCGGGCCAGCGGCACGAAAACGATTAAGGGCTGTGATCGACATTCGCACCTCGGCCTCCGACGGAGGCTCTAAACTAACCGTCCATGGCTCGTCCTGCATCACCTGAGTAGGAAGAGGTCCAGGAGCAGGGGGCCAGCTGAACTGATCTTGAAAGTGTTCCGCCCAACGAGCCACATGGCGCTCCTTATTGTGTATCAGTGCACCCGCACTGTCTCTGATTGTCGGTGTGGCGATCATTAACCAGCTGACCGCGCTGTTTGCAAAAATTTGGCATGAAGAGAAAGTGCTTTTCTCTTGGGGCGAATCAGTTATTGTCCCGATTTTCAAAGCGCTCGAATTTCATGTGCAAATCATCGCGGGATTAGTCTTATTTCAGTTGCCTCTAAGCTATTGGCATCCATTCTGCTTCGCATACTATCCCCAATACGTGAATCATACTACCGTGAAGAACAAGCTGGTTCCCGTCCTGGCTGCGGATGCGTGGATCAAAGCTTCACGCTCCGCCAGCTTTTCGAACATCGCCACATTTATCGCAGGCCCCCTATCATTGCATTTCTAGACATACGTGCCGCTTTTGACTCCGTTGATCGACCTGCTTTATGGCGTTGCTTACTAAGGAACGGGGTGCCAGAGAAATAGACCGCCATCTTACGAGCACTTTATCTTCATACATCCGGCAGAGTGAGGGTCTATGGCAAGCTTTCCTCGCAATTCGCTATCAATAGCGGTTTGCGACAGGGCTGCCCTGTGTCCCCATTCCTCTTCAACTTCGCAATCGAAGACGTTCTGTCGAACGCTCTAGAAGGTTTCCAACATTTTGGCTTAGAGCTTCTACCGGGTGAGCGTGCGGCCGACTTAGATTATGTTGATGATATCTGCTTACTTGGCGATGATCCTCAGGGTATGCAACGCATGCTGAATCGTTCGGCAGTTGAAGCAGCTAAGTATGGCATGAGCTTCGCCCCATCGAAGTGTAAAGTACTGCTCAAGGATTGGCTTTCACCTGCTCCTGTGCTCACTCTCGAAGATGCACAACTTGAACAGGTAGATAGTTTCGTCTACCTTGGGAGCTGTGTTTCTGCTGACGGCACTGTCAACAAAGAAGTTTCTCTTCGCATCGCTAAAGCTCGATCAGCATTTGTCAATCTGAGGCACTTGTGACGTCGTCGCGTCTTATTCTCACTAAAGGGCCGCGTTTACAGCGCACCAGTTCGCTCAGTATTGTTGCATGGGTGCGAGTCCTGGCCGATCGCGTGGAAGACATGCGTCGTCTTTCTGCCTTCGATAACGGTTGCTTAAGGAGGATCGCTCGTGTTTAGTGGCAACATCGAGTTAATAGTAATGACGTTCGACGCCGCATCTTGGGGAATGCGAGTATTCCCTTTAAAAAAACTGGTTTTGTTGTGTCAGTTAAGATGGCTTGGTCACGTCCTACGATCTACATCCGCTAATCACCATGGTTTTACGTTGGCTCTGCCTAGTTGATAGACTGTTGAGATTACTACTACTACGTCCTACGCATGGCACCTAAGCGTCTACCGCGTCGCGCTCTATTCGCTCGTCAAGGACCTGGCTGGAGGCGACCGCGTGGTGGTCAGGCTTCCACTTGGCGGCAGCACATGAAATCCCTGACGTCGTCTAGCCGCTGTTGGATCCGTACGTCTTCCAGGATGGGGACCCAGTGCCAGTGGATAAGCACTCTTGAAGACATGGCCCGCAACCGGATTTGTGTACAGTATTGCATTGATTCCCAAGTTTAATAGTACAAACATTAAAATGACAAAATAGAGCAAAAGCGGAATGTGAAAAACAAACTAAAAATGTTTTCTTCTACTTTTTGTCAAAATGTTCCATTGTTCCTGCGGCATATTAGTTGAAGTGTGTTGCTCACGTTAAACTAGCATGCCACGATGATTATGACTCGATGACTCTTGCTTATTCGCTGGTCTCCATGGTTTTACGTTGGCTCTGTGTCTAGTTGCTAGACTGTTGAGATTACTTACTACTTACGAGTGCGAACGACGCTTCGTCCACGCACTCGACGCCCAACTACATCCTCCTTAGCTCTCTTCTAGTGCCCTATTTTTAGCATTAGCTAACTCTCCCCCCATCCAATAAATATTTTCCCTAGCTTACTTTTGTGTGTTCTACCCATTGCCTTTATATGGCCGTCCAGCTCGTGCCGGATACATAGCGCATGATCATCGCGCTATAGGTTCCTTTTAAGGGAGACATGCCCTTCGAGCTAATTGCATAAGGGTGTTGACTGCACTGAATCAAACCTATCCGGCAGCCCGAGCCTACATAATTGCTGAAACAGCCCCTGATTACGCAGCGCCTTAAAGACAGGCTTCCAGTTGAGTTCAACTCCTTTGTTTTATAGCCATACACCTGCACCTGTAGTGCTAGGCATACTGAACATACGACCAGACCTGTATCGAAGAGGGCTGTTGAGCATTGCCCCTGTAGCGCCCTAACAGACAACTATTATCTTTTGCGAGCAATTCCGCTGATGACCAATTGTACAGTATACTTGTGTTAAGCTTTTGCATTAGGTCCATGTTGACCATTATCCAGTTCGACACTTGACCGTCATGTAAGTTTCTGCGCTAACGTGTTGCTCCGGTCTCGCTTCATCCGTCCATGTCTTCTTGTAGCCCATCGAATAAAGTCCGCTGTGTCCAAGTCTAGTTGCCTTTTGATATCCGCGCTTAGTTTCGCGCACCGTCTCGGACTAGTATTTACTAGTCTTACACCCGGGATCATTGCAGCACGGTACGGTAAAAAAAAATGTATATACAGCTGCATATTAGAACACCTACTTAACACGACACCAAATAAGAGCTATGAACCCATTAAAAGTATTCTAAGCTTTACCGAAGCGGACCCCAAAAGGGCTCAAAAAACATTTGTTGATTACGGCTGAAGCCATTGCAATCAGACGGCTACAGCCAGAACTGTGTAAGCAGAAGAGTTTGGTGCAAGTCATTATCTTGCCGCGGGCTTGGTCTAGTCATGTGATTTTAAAGCAATGGACGCGTTGTAGTTCGTTTGATCTGAACCACCGTAAATTTCCCTTACCAGGACATCTACTACCGTGCGACTGCTGCCTAGAAACAGCGTAATGTTCATTTGATTATTAGCATCGTAATTGTGCATCCTTAACGGCAGTTGTCGAAAAGAAATTTCTTCGCGCCAATTGTCTTCTAACATTTACATGGGCATAATCTACGACCGTAAAAGTGCATTCAAATCATGTGTTAAAGGTACGAGGAAAATGTTCTTGTTAAGTGACTGATTCGTTCTATATATGTCACACTGGGAACACGGGGTTAACAAAAACGGTCACACACGGCGCTTTAACGGATATTCATCTGTTACTCAATTGGAATGGAAAACAACAAACGGAGAGAATAGATCAAATGACACAGTCAAACAGACGTAGAGCTGACTTTCATCACGAAGTAATTGTAGCGAATAAACGTATGCACGGGACTTACTCTCCTTTCAGTTCAACGCATGCAGTAAGTTCAAACATGGGTCCAACCATATGCATGGCGCTTGCTGGGTCGACATTGCAATATTTTTTATGCGCAGACTGGAAAAATGAACTGTAGTTGCAAGAATGTCTGCCTTCAGCTGATCGCGAGAGATAGGTGGTTTTACGTCTAATATCCATTTGGCCACTTTATTAATGAAGAAATTATAGAGAGTTCTTCTTGATCGACCTAAGCTCGCTAACCAGAAAGTTCGCTGGGGTAAGCGTCATCGCCCATGGACAATGTTCAGAGAGGAACAAGACGCAAACTGAAACAGACTTCGTTGTTCGCGCAACGACCTGGAGGATTGTTTAAGTAAAGCAGATATAAACAAGGCTTGCGTACCTCAGATAAAAATAAATCTTAATAAATATGGCGAAAAATCTATTATCGTGTGTGCCGTGAACTTCGGTAATGTCATGTAAAGTAGCTTATTAAAATTTGCGACTTCAAAAACATGTTCAAGTTTCCGTGGGACCGGAGCAGTACGGTAAATACCTGTGTGTTCTCTCTGTGTTGTGTTGTTGATCCATAGTAGTTATTCCTCGTAACAACTGCAATCTAAGGTAATCAGATCAACAAGCGCCAATCACATCACGATCAACCGATCGGCACCCACATGATTTGCATTGGCTGTCCCCGCCGCACAAATCACACGAAGTTAGAAGCAGGATTACGAATTAAATAAAAGCGTTTAAACCCAAAAAGAACTAGCGACTTGACAATTCAATAAAGCGCTTACTCTGTGAGTACTACGCGGTAACTCGAGATTTTGGCGTGCCATATTGATCGAGCAGTTTAGCAGAAATATTGTGGAAAACATTGTTTGAATAAACACATAAAGCAAAAGTTGAATGTTGTCGGATTTAGAAAGCACAATTAGAAGTCGCAGTTCAGCAGGTGCATGCATTTCGTACCGTACCATCAGTGCCGATAACGATAACCCGTAAGTTTACATAGCACTTTGTGGGTACAGACATACATACCAACAAACACGAGAGAAATGGTGTCTTTCTTCTACAACCATGGCGGCCAGACGTTGACCGATATCGTTTTTGCATACAAAGCGCTGGCTTACTCTGAGTAATGACATTAGACTTGGCAAAACGGAGGAGCCTGGAATTACTATGAGGAAGCAGAATTCTAAACGACTTGTTGACATCAATTCGGTGACCCGATGTCAATAAGTGCCCGCCAAATAAAGTTATGGGCGGCCTGCGCACATACGTAGTCTGCTTTGCTCTTGCTTGCTGTATAAGCCCGCAAGGAGCCCATTTTTGTACATGCTGGTCAGTGTTCTATTGGTTCCGCCTAGGTAACAAACCCAGCAGTTGCATATCAATTGATATATACTGTGGGACTTGGTGTCAATAAGCTGCCTTTCCTTTAGTGGTGGCAACGGTGGCTTATGAATTCGGTTGATGATTACAACTTTGGCAGGAGAGAAAGTGCTCTGGGTGGCGGAAATCAGACGTCTTCTTGGCCTCAAAAAAAGAAATCCGCTAGTGTGGGACCCAGTGGGCTGGCCATGGCTACCTCACCAACTTGGCGATACCGTATGATTCGGAAGTAGAAATCGACAGTTTCTGTGCATATGAGTAATGCTTCTCTTAGGAATTCAACTGGAATCAGCAACGGGCATTCGGAATTTCTGCTATTTCGCAGATGCAGTCAACAGTCTGATATAGCGGCACGTTAGTAAAAAAGATCATACATCTAAGGAATACATCACCTTATCGGACAAGTTCCTTTTACCGAGATCTTTGGCAAGATCGAAGGAAGTTTTTACGCCATAAAGATTTAACTGAGCTTTTAGCGGAGAAGGCACCCCAAACAAGCAGCTAGCTAAGTTACTTTGGGTTGCGTTCGTCATCAGCAAGATCGGTCTGAGCGGCACCCAGAGTTTGTGAGTACTTGGAAGTCCAAATAGCTGTGGCGTAGTTGATCCACTAGGCTTTAAACTCTTATAAGTAGCGCTGTCGAGCAGGTGCTACTGATGAAGCATTGCTAAGTTACGAATGATTCGGGATTCGAAGGCAGGCACATCCCATGATTTCTCCAGTCGTTCAAATTTGTTAGCATCGCTGAGTATGGTGCTTAGCTTCCCGATGTATTTATTTTCTTCGTGACTACGAATCCTGAACCCTTATCTGGCTTCATTACAACGACATCCTAATCGAGCAATTCGCATAACGCTCGTAGGTGTCTGTTCGTAAGCGTGCACTTTTCTTTTATTGGCGCATTTTTTGCTTCATAGACGACATCGGTCAAATTGTTTCTAAACCGTATAAGCCTATAGGTACTAGTTGGTTGGAGGTCCTGCAGCTGATCGAATATGTTCTCAAACTGAGCCTAATGCACAATCCCATCCATCGTCTAGGAGGCGCTCCGTAATCTAGCCTGAACGACAGTGCTTCTAACTGTATTGCATCAAGGTGCACATTTGTCAGATTCACTATATGCTTACTGAGGTCCCGAGTACATAGCTCCTCACTTTGGTTGTTCATCAATGCTTATTGTGCCGTACTAGTTCCTTCCTCTTTGTACGATTGATTTAGGCTTTACAAAATTGGGTGTATATAATCTGACAACGAGCTGACAAGTTTTCGATTACGGGTAACAGGCGGGCATGGGTTTCCAGTAGGCCATCAATTCTGGCCCGCGGTCTCCAACCGGGCCGATGCGACGCGTCGGAGGTTAGCTACAGAATTCTTAAGCTTGTTCATACGCAACAGTTTCCAAATCGCCCGAGATTAACGGTATATGCGAGCACAAACTGACAACAAATTAATTTTCACACCTGGGAGAGCAACCTTGCACCACGGAATGAAGCTACGAAGAAGCAGTTTAGTGGAATAAGGGAGAATTCGTCGTTTGAGAAAGTTAAGACAGTTCCCTTTATTAACTTGAAAAGCACGATTAAAAGTCGATGTTCGGCAGGTGCATGCACTTCGTACAGTGCCGATAACGATAACCGGTAATTTTATACAACAGCATAGACACAAACAAACGCGAGAAAAGTGTCTTTCTTCTGCAACCGGGGAAGCCTGAAGCTGATCAACAATCGTTTTCGTGCACAAAACACTGACTTAATCCGAATAATGGCACTAGCCTCGGAAAACAGGAGGAGCCAAGTTATCTTAGATCTACTAAAGTTGCATTTGGCATAGCGTCTCCCTGTCTTTTGCTGGAATCACTTCTGTTGCTCCCATGTTTAAGTTCCTTTTACACCCTTTATTACCTTAGTAATGTTAGTCGCTTTACGGTTGTATACGTGCTGTTAACTTCTGCTCTGTTTTCCTATTAAACCTAGTCGTCTTCCTACAATCCGAGGCAGATAAAGCACTTGTGTTCTCGTTTGATGCTTCAAATGTACTCTGCGGCATTTTGTTTGTTCAAAGTTAGTTAGGGATTCATCTGGTGGTATGCAGTGTGGTGTCTGACCCCGTTGGTATCACAAAACATTACTGGCCTCCGAGTGAATCCATACCATACGCTATCATCCAACGAAAACTTTTGTTTACATATGCTGGTTGTTGCGCTCAAAAAGTGAAGCTCCCGGCTTCTACCAGTGCTGAATTTAAAGCACTAGCAGCCAGTTCAAGTTGTGGAGAAGGCGTCAGCCGAGCTTGATTCTCTTACCTCGATCGGCTCAAGGGTTGATGAAATCCCTGGATAGTTCGAATGTGGACGCTGTAAGGACTGTCCAGCTGTCAGTCCATTTGTTGATGAGGTTTTCATCCTACCGGACGCTCTAGTTCACATGGAGGGAACTGGCACAGATTCTTGGGCCAGCATTGTTTGCCGTCCCTGAATGGGAGGCGATCCACGAGATACTGCGCCTGGAACGAATAAGCGGATAGGACAAGCAAAGCGCGCATACCCCCGTCCCCACACCTGGAGGTGAGCAATCGCTCAAGATGCAAGCGCCTGTGCTGGAAACACCACCTGAGGCTGCGGTTCCCTCAGTGAGACATGAGGTGCTTCCGCTTCGCTCCCACTGATTCCTGTCCTCAATCATGTGGCGTGGATGGTAGAGCTTATAAAGTAAATAAACTTCCTCGAGGCGATTTTCACACAAATAGCAGTGTGGTTTTCAGAAACCTCACTGAATCAACTGCCGCACTTCTCACCGAGCCAATGCTCGATGAGTTTGGTTAGCGTATAGTTTGCGTTACCAGGCTTTTACCACCATGTCTTGGCATTGCTGTCAGGAAGCTCAGCAGTTTAGGGAAATTTCCGGTTAGTCAACCTACTACTCGTCCCCCTCAGCTTAGGGTGGTTCTCTCCACCCCAGAAGAATGAAGGGCCTTACTGCGATTTAGCTTCAAGCTCAAGGGTGCCAACTTCAGTGTGCAACCAGGCCGTCTGTTAGCGGATAAGTTAAAGTTAAAAGATGCCATCAGAAACCAAAAGGCCCCGCATGTCTCTGCCTAGCAAGGTCTCCGAATTTTGGGTTTTCCGCTAGTCAGCCGGCGGGTTTTACCCGCCCTACAATAACTTGTTCTACTTGCGCACGACCCAGGGTTGCTCGTGTGGAAGTCCTCCAAGTAGTAATTAGTAACGTGCTTGGTCCGTGGCATAAGTTTTGCTAGGTGGGTCTGCTCGTAGACAAATCTCGTACAGCTATACTTGCTTTCACTGAAACGTAGCTGTATGTGGAAAGCACAGATGGTAAGTATATATCAGCGGCTAGGCACTGTTCTGTAATAACCGCTCCATTGTAAGTCAAGGAGGTGGTGCAGCAATCTGCGTGCTTTATCCCATCGACGTATTAAGGACTAACCGTTTTCAGTCTCTCGACAAATAGCTTGAGGCTCTCGCAGCTTTGATTTGCGCTTCCTCTGTTCAGGTTATGGTCATGTTAGTGTATAGAAGCCCTACGAGCAACTCCAGTGAAATCACTAATTGTATACGCAGCACGCTAAGCATAAGCATTTGGTGCTGGGGAAATTCAACCCCTCCCCCGAGGTTTGTTACGGTGATTTAACTGGCAGTTCCGTGACGGGACCGCTCATCGCCGAACTGCCAGAACTGAGGCTTCAGTTAACACCAGAGCAGGTCGTGGACCTCCCACTAGATAATGAGCAGTCTGTAGCAGGCCACCTTAGGTCATGTTTTTGCAGAGTTCGTAATATCGTAAGAAACGGAGCAGTGAACGCATAAAAAAGTGAAATTATATTACACAAGAAATTTCGCGAGGTAGCCTGGTGGGACGCGGCCTTTGCACGCCTCGTCTGTCAGTTTGTAACGTACATCCTGTTTAGTGTAGTAGCTTTTTTCATATCCGTCACTAACGGTGGGTCGCAGCCGACCT